TTCCGCACGAAATCAAGAGATCTAGGCAAAAAAAACACGCAGTGTGAGCCCGGGTTAGAACTACAACAGCACTTCAGCGAGTATTCCATTCGACTCGGGATTCCGGTCTGCTAAGATAGCATACTTGCGTTGAGCTTCGGCATACCTGCGTTGAGCTTCGGCATACCTGCGTTGAGCTTCGGCATGCCTGCGTTGACCTTCGGCATACCTGCGTTGAGCTTCGGCATACCTGCGTTGTCCTTCGGCATACCTGCGTCGAGCGTCGTTGATTTCCTGGAGATTCGTCTGCCTTTGCTTCTCCTTTTGACGGGTCATCCTTTCATTTTCACACACAACACACAGCAGGGGGCCACCAGTGTCTTTCCCATCCACGGGGTCATCGATCCCCTGATTTTTTCCAGTACTGGTCTGAGCGGTCTCTTCCTTCGTAATGCCATTATCTTCCTGTCCAAGTTTTTCCGTATTTATCGTATGCAAGACAGCCTCACAAATAACAATGGAGAAGAGGGCGTTGGCCAAGTGGATGCAGCTCATCAGAATGTACAAGCCACCAAAGTCCACGAATGCTCGGCGAACAACCAGATCCGAAAGCGATGACCAGCACTTCTCGGTTGAATTAGACACAATCTGGGTGCTAATGCACTGGCGGAAGGTTACGAGGTGGTACATGTCAGGCAATAAGGTGATGAGCGCCAGTGCATGGATGTTGCGAACATGGCTAAAATAGTTCCCGGCGTCCTGGCGATCCTGGGCCGTTAAGTGCTTCTCACATTTGCAGTTGCAAAACTTTCCGGAATATGCCTGGGCGCCCATGCCGCCGTAATGGAATGGGTAGGCTAGCAGAAATATATGCATACGGATGAAATCCTGGTTATCCCGATACGACCATGACCAGCCAGTTAAAACTGCAGACCAAAAGATCAATCGATCGGCTGGTTTTCACCAAAGAACGGCTTTAGGGTACTGTTCATGTAATTACAAAAGAGATCTATATCTATAACTGCTTAGTCGTACAATTTACAAACAAAAATAAGTTTTTAATGGACAAGAACTTGACCACACCGGAGGTCGGCTGTCACATTGGCACACTCGCTTTTGCTCCTGCAACGGCCGTATTTGTCAAGAACCCGGTCTGTCTTAGCGCGCGGTTTGCGACTCTTCTGCTAATAATAATTCGATATGTAAACTGTAATCTGCATTTTTTCCATTTCCCAAAGCCGAGTAGGGACTTGGCGATCGTCTACACGGTTAGGATTAATTTTACCAAGAAGGTTTATGCCGACGGCTTAATCAACATTTAACGATATACTGCTTACATATTGTTAAACCGTCTATACCAATGCAATTAACAAAGTTTTGCATAATTTTAGCTGTCGTAATTCACAGTATATAGATTTATCTGAAAGTTTCCGCCCCCCAAAAGCCCATTCGTTTTGCTCTAATCTAAACCGCTTTGCAGCAACCACCAAAACTGTGATACTCGTACATCATAGTAACTTCAGTAACGCTTAACTTTTCGATTATTAGTAGTACTACATTGAATAATGCCGATTTCTAGTCGCCCTTTGACCAAGTGGTTAATTTAAAAAAAAATCAGAATGGCAGTACTCACGACCGGCTGCAAGGATGTCGAAGACAAGGGTTACTCCGGCGGCCACCACGTTGCTAACTGCTAAGAAAAGCACATCGTGCGATCTTACAAGACGGTCTCCTAGTTTTCGCACCCACATTTTTGGGGTAAAATGTAGAGCGAGGTTTGTTAATATTCACAGGGAACCACTAAAATCCTCGAATTTTTCACGTTAGTAGGAAAGCAGTAGAACCTAGACTAAACCTTCCCAGATACAGGAAATGAGACTACGAGTGAAACGATCATACTCTGCGTGCAAACATTTCGCTGACAATGAAATAAGCAATTCCTGACAGTCCTGGAAATAACAGCGACGGCCGGAATCAGAGCGACCAGCTAGAGTAGAGATTAAACCACCATCTCACAGTAATCAATAGTGCTGATATATAGTGCGCGGGTATACATATTCGTACGTCCTACAGTGTATTTCAGGAAGGACACCTATAAGTTCCACAAGACCCACCTGGATTATGGTACATCCCATTACTTAATAGCAGTGATGTCCCGTTTGCAGTTTTTCAAGTCCCGACCGCACTTTCACGATCAAAAACTTTCCCGCACCCGCTCCCGCACCCGAGCGCTCGGACCGCCCCGCAACCCGCTCTGATTCCCGATTTTCAATGAATCAATAATTTTAATAATTGTTACAAATTTATTACAAAATTTTTGGTGTAAAGTTTCGTCGAAAAGTTTAATGGATAGGCATTTTCTAAAAGACTAGACCTGCATGCTAAATCTTACTTTTACTTTTCAAAAAAAACTGAGCTTGGCTCGTAATTATAAATTTGTTAGAACGGCATCCGCCCTTTCAAATTATACAATTGCCGTAAATATATTATCGCCATCAACTATTCGATTTTCTTTCGAAACCGACGTTTGCGTCACAGGAGCTACGTAGCTAGCCGCCGCTTATTAAATTTTGATACACGGCTGCTGTACTCGTATTAATCTTATGTTACGTTAGGTTCCTTAGCTTTTATTAGGCTTTTTAAGTTTTCCTATTTTTGTCATTTGTTTCTCAGCTTCTCTTATTTTTCTAAACTTTTCTTAGATTTTTATGCTTCCTTAAGCTGTTATTTTTTTATGAATTCCTTTGTTATTCTTATTATGTTTTCTTTTGTTTCTTGATTGGTTTCCGAAATGTGTGATTTCCGGATGTTAATGGTTTCCAAAGTGAACATTTCGAAATAAACGGTTTCCGAAATTGGTTTGCCGCGGCCACGGTTACAGATACGGTACTCGAAGCCACCTTGCGAGGAGGAGACTGGAGTTGCTGTATCGCAACTGGATTCGCTTTGAACCTGAGCCACTAAGTTAGCAGAAAATTGCTAGAAAATTCAAAGAAACGAGTAGCGGGCGGGCGTACCAATCAGGCTATATTCCCGACCGCACCCGATCCGAGCAGAAAGCCTCCCGCTACCGCTTCCGAGCCAAAAGCGGGTGCGGGGTGCGGGAATTTCCCGTGATTTACCGAGCCCGTGAAAAAAACGGGACATCATTGCTTAATAGCCGCCCTGTTTCATGGTTGGCTCTCGTCAAATCTAAACTTCACGTGGCATATCCATGGTTGGCCTAGCCACCATACCATAGTTTTACCGGTAATTACAAAAATAGAAGTATACAAAACTGCAATCGACAGATGAGAGAGGGACGGCAACACGATCGGCCGGCTAAAGTAAGTCCGGAAGTTCCAGTGGTTCCAAGTTTCCAACTACTACGTAGCCAGTTGGCGCTGCGTAGGAATTATGCGCTACGTCACTAAAGTCAATACAGACATTGACATACCAGAGAAAATTTAACAACAAAATACATGCACCAACAGACAAAATACTCGTACTTTAGCCAACTGATTCATAATTGCAAGCGTATATCATTATATTAAGTATTACATACTGCGCTTATGACCAATCGTCAGCCGACAGCCATCACAAGGGTGTACTTCTGCATTATCAATGTGTTTATAAATTATGTTCCTGTGCAAACTGTAATTCACAACCAATACAGATTTTCTAATTTCAGTAAATAAAAAGTTAAAATTTAGCAGTTTTCATATAGGCTTCCGGTATGTGAAGCGTTCTTGTGAACCTTAGTACCAACATAATTATTTTAGTCGGTTTAATATACGAGTATTGTTCTTGTGTCATCTTGTCGTATGCGTAAGGGGGCTCGTCCGATCCCCGTTGCAGAAGACATTATCAAAGTAAAATTATCGAAGTTATTTGATTTATTATTGAAGTTAAACTGGCCTCGTACAGGTTGTTCACTGTTCAGTATCGCTAAACCGTAATGATGCGAATCATGCGGTGCATTGCCCATTGGTTACAGCACAGTGTAGAAGTTACTTTTAAGTTTTGTTTTCACCACGCCCATTGACCATACCACATGAAAATAATTGTTTTCCTTATTCCTGTGTTTACGTTGTTTATTATTTGTTGGTTGCAAATTTTACGTTGTTGTTTAAATTCTGCGCAGTTGTCAAATTATTGGTTCATTAATTTCGCCATGCCCGGCCCATGCGCACATGCACTGTGCCTCACCGGCTATTATAGAGCAGTGAGCTTGCAAAATTCTTAAACAGTACGATAAAAATTGCGGGAGTCGACCACTACCAGTCGACCACAATACTATTATTAGTAATAATTATCAGTGACTGAGATAGGTAAATTAGTAGGCACAAAGCGAGCTTCGCTCACCAATAACAGTCAAATGGAGAATTGTCCATCAATCAACAAATCGGTTTCCTGCTAGTACTTTTATAATTTTGGAATGTTTTCATAAATTCGGTATTCGTCCATTGATGAGGGGATTCGTCCGGAACAGCTGACATGCAACGTCTGCTGATGCGTCTATAGTATGTATTCCGCTGTAACCTTTTCGTTTTGCGCACTTATTGCTTTGTGTGTAGCATTTTTTATAGTGTAAATTATTGGAACGACTGCCAAGAAAATCGCTATGCATGCCTGTGGGATTGTTATATATATCTGAATTTTATGTCGCCATTAATTACATAGTTACCAAATCACATGCGTTATTCTAACAACGAAATATCGACACAAGTCAGGTGTATCGTAGAGTGATACGAGTATAACGTGGTATTTTTGAATATTAATTTTTCTGCTGATCTTTTAGACTATGCTCGAATTAGACGGTGTTGTCCACGAAATATTTCGAAGTGTTCGAGGTGAAACTATCGGGCGGGATTGATCTGCAGAGTTTTCGTAGCGGCACTGGTTGCGAAAATAATACAGGTTATTTATTATCAGTTACTCGGATATCTACTTTGTATTATTAGTCTTTAGTTCAGTAATGGCACTGAATTATTTATTTGGGAAACCAAGATGCCGGATTTACGGCTATATATTTTGCGCGTCCACTCATAGTAACCGTAAGTACAATTCACAAATACTCGTACATCGATAATATTACAGGTATTCATAACCATCATAGATCATAATATTGCAGATAACTGTAATCCCTTAAACCAGACCATATACAGATTAACAGACCATATACATATTGTATAGCGAAACAAAACCAATATTTTGTACTTTTCGTGTACCAAGATATTGTCATTGTAAATAAGTTTGCTAACTTCGACCACGCATCATAATATGTTAACTGCATTATTCCGCACGAATTTAAGCGATCTGGGCAAAACACGCAGTGTAAGCCCAGGTAATTAGAACTACAACAGCACTTCAACGGAAACAGCACTTCAGCCAGTTCAGCGTATTCAATTCAACCCGGGATTCCCGTCCGCTATAGGTAAGAGAGCATACCTGCGTTTCAGGGCTTCAGCTGATACCAGTAGGGCTTGCAATCTAACGATCTCTTCGTTGATTTCTTGGAGATTCTTCTGTCTTTGCTTCTCCTTTTGCCGGGTCATCCTTTCACTTTCACACACGATACACAGCAGAGGGCCATCGGTGTCTTTCCTATCCATCCCTTGGTTTCTTCCAGTGCCGGCCTCCGAACTGCCAACATTTTCATGATCTCCGTTCCCATCCACGGTGGTTTTCTTTGTGTCCATCTTACGCATAATCATTGTGCTCATAGCCATGGAGAAGAGAGCATTCGCCATGTGGATGCCGTCTATCAGAATGTACATGTAGCCAAAGTCCACGAATGCTCGGTGAGGCTTCGAAGCCGATGACCCACCAGCATCAGCACCAGTACCATTAGCACCGGCGCCGAACCAGCACTCCTGTGTTGAGTTAAGCCCCGTGTGGGTACTCATGCACAGGCGGAAGGATACGAAGTGGTACAGTTCAGGCACTAAGGTGACGAGCGCCAATGCATTGATGTTGAACACCCGGTCAAAATACTGCCGGGCGTTCCCGCGATCCCCGGCTGTTAAGTGCTTCTCGCATTTGTAGTTGCAGAACTTTCCGGAATAAGCTTTGACGCCCAAGCTGCCGTAATTCAGCGGGTACATTAGCACGAAGATATGCAGGCGGAAGAAATCCCGGGACGCCGAATTCGACCAGCCGGACCAGGACCAGTCAGCGAAAACTGCAGAGCAAACCGATTAGCGGCTACTTTTCGCAAAGTGTGAGAACGGCTTTAGGGTTTTGTACATGTATGACGTACCGGTAAATGTAACAGAAGATCTATCTGCAACAGCATAGTCGATATCCGTACAAATTTATTAAAAAAGGTATTATTCTGGGCGAGAACATGACTGTACACTTGAGGTGGGATCGCACTGCAACTGTAACGGCCGCATTAGCTGAGAGTGAGGACCCGACACCAGTCTTAGCGCGCCGTTTGTGAATCTTTGAATATTAATAATATGTATGTAAATTGTAATTTATCTGCCTTTTTTTAATTTATCTAGGTCGCGTAAGGACTGTGTAATCGCCTGCACGGCTAGGATTGATCTCAATAAGACGATTTAGGCTAGCCGCTTAAACAACATTAATATACTGTTCATTATTATTAAACCGCCTCTATTTGCATTAACAAAATTTCGCAGGATTTCAGCTGTTGATACGGTAATTCACTGGTAAAATAAAGTGCAAGCGCGGATACTCTACTTTGCAGTCAAAATAAACATAAAAAACAACCAAAACCTCTATCCTCCTGTGGAAGTAAATCTCTATCCTCCTGTGGAAATACATAATTATAACGATGTACGAGACACCTGCGTGCTCTGTACATAGATTTACGAGTATTTGAAATTATTACTTCCCCACGTAACATTCATTTTGCTCTAATCTAAACTGTTTTACAGGAATTACCGAAATAGTAACAGTAGTAATTCTAATGATGGTAAACTTTTACAGACAGAAACTCTATCGATTACACTTGATTTCTAGTCACCCGTTCCGGGCTACAGAGCTACTTTTTAAAATCGGAATGGCAATACTCACGCCCGGCTGTCAGGAAGATTAGGACAACGGTCACTCCCGAGACCACCAGGTTACTGACTGCCAAGAAAAGTACATCGTGAGATCTTACAAGGCGATGTCCTTCTGTTTGCAGCCACATTGTGAGGACTAAATGTAGAGATTATTGTATTAATTGTCACGAGGAACCACTAAAGTTCTCGAATAGTGCACGTTGACAGGAAAGTAGTGGAATCCAGATTAGACAGCCTTCCAAGATACAGGAGATGGGATTTTGAGTAAGACGGTTATGAGTCAGACGTCATGCTTACAATGTATTAACCGATTCCTGACAGTCCGACTGTCAGGAACGATCGTTTCCACGATCGTGGAAACAACAGTAGTGACGGTAGGAATACATGGCTTGCAACCAGAGATTTAAATCATCATCTAATGAAATCAATAGAATAGGTATACATGCATCAGATTTTGGTGCGCGGGTTAGCGGGTATACTCGTACCTCCTGCTTTACATTTCGGGAATGGCACCTGTGAGTTCGACCAGACCCACTCGGTTTATGGTACATTCCGATATTAATTGCTGCCCTGTTTTATAGTTGGCTCTCGTTAAATCTAACCCTTACGTCCTACAGCCACGGTTGGTCTGGCCGCCATACCATAGTTTACCGGAAATCATAAGAAATGAGCAGTACTGCACACCGTTAGGTTAGAGAGGGACAACAACCTGAACGGCCGGCTAGAGTAATGCCGGAAGTTGCAGCGGTTCCCACTACTCCGTAGCCAAATGCCGGATATGCGCTACGTTGTTTATCTCTGTCAGAAGTGTCAACATAGACACTGTGCCGTTGCAGTTAATCATTTAATTAATCTTACCCCGGGGTAACTGGGATATTTTCTTCATTTGAGTGTTTCTCAGTGAGCAAAACTCGTGCATTTACATAATAATTGTGAAAAAAATTTGCACTCAATAATCTTTCTATATATTTGTACGAATATAATATATTTGTAAATATAAAACCAAATGTTCTTTGTTCTGCAGTATGTTTTAGTTGTCTAACTTGTCTTAGTATTTTCTGAATACAAATTTATATGCTACTGTGTTATTCCACGCTCGGTCTCATGATTACTGGTTAGACGATGTTGTCGCGAATCGTTTCGGGTGGTTTATTATTTCTTACGATTAAATAAACAGAACACACTCGTACATACTGTGCAGCGAAATACAGTAACACGGAAGGACTTATACATTTTTCTGGTGATCGATCAGCAGCAATGTCTTTGATAATTAAATTGTTTGACTGCAAAGTGCCTAAATGATGTTGATGAATTCTAATATTAATGAATTAATTTCGCCCGGAAGTATGAAATCCATACAAACCGTGCAATCTAAGCCAGGATTAACCTTTCAATGAACTTCAACAAAACCTCAGCAAGCCTTCATTTATTGCGTCAGTCCAGAATCTCGTCCGCGAACTCGTTAGGGAATGCATTAAGCTTCGGCCGCTGCTGCTTGCTCGCTAGCGAGCAGTTCTTTGACTTCCGGGAGATTCTGACTTTGATTCTCCTTGCACCGGGTCTTCCGTTCGGTTTCACATTCAGTACACAACAAGCGGCCGCGAGGGTCTTTGCTATCCACCAGATCATCCATCCCCGGGTTCTTTACAGTACTAATATCTTTCTCTGTAATGTCTGTTCCACCATTTTCATTATCCTTAGCTCCAACCACAGTGCTTGTCTTTGTACCCATCTTATGCCGAATAATCACGCTCAGAACAATGGAGAAGAGGGCGTTAGCCAAGCAGATGCCGTAAATCAGAAAGTACATCCAACCAAAGTTTACGTATGCTCGGTAAAGATTAGGCTCCGAAGATGCGCAGCACACCCCTGCTAAATCAAGTGGCAACCAGGAGCGAGCACTCACGCATCGGCGGAAGTGTACGAGGTCATACAGGTGAAACACGAAGCAGAGGAGTAATACTGCATCGATGAAGATCACAAAGGCAAAATACCGGCCGGCCTTCTTGCGATCCTGGGCAGTTAAGTGCTTCTCACATTTGTAGTTGCAAAACGCTCCGGAATAAGCTGCCGTACCTATGGTGCTGTAAAGCAATGAGCGCACCAGCATCATCAAGTGCAGACTTGTGAGATCCGGGTACGACCAACACCAACCAGTGGAAACTGTAGAACAAACCATAGTTTTAATAATTAGTGGGAGGATTTTGCAAAGTCTGAAAAACTGAATACTCGTACAATTTACAAATCAAGAGATGCCACTGAGGCGGGCTGCCATATCGGCACACCCGCATTGCAGATGCAGCGGCCGTATTATCCAAGAACCCGACACCTTTCTGAGTTTGTATTGACCTCTGGTAAATTGTAATCAGCATTTTTTGAATTTTTCAAGATTGAGTGAGGGCTTTGCGGTCTACGCGGCTAAATTTGACTTAAACAGAAAGGTTCATGCTGGCTGGCGGCCTAAACAATAATATAATTTAGATCATACATGTTTATTATTAAATTGCCTCTAGTCCCTATGCCAATGCAACCAACAACGTTTGGCAAAATTTTAGTAAGTAATTCAGTTATTCAAAATGCTTATAAAGAAGCTGCTTGCTACATGCATTTACTGTAAACTTCCCCCTCGCATTGATTTTGCCCCAATCTAAACTTTTCATACACATTAGTGCTCGTAATTTCGAAGACGGCTGAACTTCTTCACGGCTGTGACTTCTATTTTGCCGCTGACCGAGCAGTTACAGAGCAAAATTTTATAATTTTTTAAATCAGAATGACACTACTCACGCCCAGCTGCCAGGACGACAAGGGCAGTGGCCACTCCGGAAACCAACATGTTGCTGACTGCGAAAACAAGCACCGCTTGGGATCTTACAAGACGATGTCCGACTTTGCGCAGCCACATTTTTCGGATATAATGTACAGTGCACTGTCAATCTTTTACGAGGAACCAGCAAAATTCTCGAACAGCGCACGTTGAAACGTTCAACGAAGGCGGTAGAGTCTAGATTAGAGCTCTCCAGATATATAAAATGGGACTAACGGTTATGAGTCAGACGGTGCTTGTAATGCAGTAAATGATTCCCGTCAGTCCTGGAAATAACAGCGTTGGTCGGTGTACAGTACAGAATAGCTACTAACTAGTGATTTAAACCACCATTTCATGAAAATCAATAGCGGTAATACAACTAATTTTAGTGTGCCGGTTTACTCGTACGTTCTATAAGTAAATTATGGTGAATCCCAATATTTGATTTCTCCCTTTTTTCATGGTTGGCTCCCGTCAGCTCTTACCTTTACGTGGTATAGCCGGGTTGGTCTAGCCACCATACCATAGTTTATCGGCAATCATTAGGAATATGCACTGAACATTGCAACCGATAGATTAGAGACGCACGGCAACACAAACAGCCGGATGAAGTCATACCGGAAGTTGCAACGGTTTCTACTCGTAAGTAACCAGGTGGCGCTGCCTCAAAATGCGCTGCGCTGTTTGCGTCCGGCATTACTCATTAGCGTCACTTTATACGAAATACTTTAATAAACTAACAAATAACTGCCAGCCTGGAGAATTACATTAACTAAGTATTACTAACTATGCAATCATCAGTCATCAGTCAATCATCAGAACAACATCAACGAGCAATCATCAGTCATTACCATGGGTTTTGCTTGCATGTACTAATTGTGTATTTGTGACATGCTTATATAGTTTTGACATTATTACTAATGTTTCTGTACGGACTGTAAATACACAGCCACTACAGATTTTCAAAATTCCGCACATTAAAAGTATAATTGTGCAATTTTCAAATAGGCCTGTTTTATATGCAATGCTCCTGTAAGGATTACTATATGAATGTATGAAGTCACTATGAACGTATTTGTCCGAAGCAAAACTCTCATGAATTTAGTTTAAAGAAATGACTTAACGTAAGCAAAGCATGGCGCACTTCCAATTTATAAGACCTATTTGTATGATTCGTGCTAGACATCATATTCGTATGATATTTATCAGGCCTGCACCGAGCATGTTGATCTCACTATCTGTGAAAAAAAAACAAAATTTAATTATGAATGCTGCTAGATGTGCGCTACAAGTTCCTTGTTGTTACGTAGATAATATGCCACCTATACAGCCTTAGATCTGCTTCCGGTAGTGATTGATAATTTAGCTCGGTAGTGGTCGATGTAGTTAATTACAACACACAGCACATTCGCATACACCGAATAATTTTCCAGGCAAAAATAAACAAATGTTCCCTGTACTTATACATAGTAACCAGTGTTTTGTGTTCTACGAATCTATGTACAGTATATTTGCAGTTTATTTTAGTCAGGCTACCCTCTCACATTGCAGAAATGGTGTTGCCATAATTTGCCGTTGAATTATCGTTCTTACGGAACAGTCGATGCGCAAACCTAACATTCAGCAAATAAAAATTTAATGCCGTTATTAATTATTAAAGTCACATGCTTTTTCGTCCAACAGAATGCAAAGTACCCGTAAGAGCTGTACGAGTACTACTGTTGTTTAAACAGCTGTATGTATCAAATGTCTTAACGATAAATTAATAATATACGGCAGAACAGAATAGAAAGGAATGTTCGTAAACATACAGTGCGTCCACGCTTGATATGTGATTAACAACAGTAAGTACAATTTTTAATTAAGGTATCTGTAGATCCTTGTTTCTATTAAGGCCTCCTTTCGGTAGCTGAGCCAAGTTGTCCATCCTCCGCTTTTAGCATCAACCTCGCGCAGCTTGCAATCAACACTCCGGAAAAACATCTAGAGTTCGCAAACTACATAATAAGATTTCCGAAACGAAACGATAATGTTTAGCATTTTCGGCCAACTTGACGGAAACTGACAGTACGCAAAAGGCGAATACAGATATTTAACAGCGGAATATGTAGCGGATATTAAACTTACCATACCAGTTGAGAAACTTGGCGGTTACGAAAAATATTCTGCTCAAGATAAAGCGAAGCTGACATAAGCAAATACTTTTAGAGAGAAACAAGTTTACTCTTGTGATCAAAAACTGAAAGTGAATTTCAGAATAAAAAAAGCATAACTTCAATAGCAGCTTCACCAAACTAGTTAACGAGATTGACGGTACCAAAAAGTGTTTTTCAAAATAATTCACAAAGCTGAGCGGAAATTTTTAAATTAATTATACTAAAAATCCGGCAAATTGGCGAAGTTTTAGCGCACAAATACAGCAACAGTAATAGCGTAACTTTGTAAGCGAAACGAAAGGTCAAGCGTAATTATTGACAACGAAGCAGAGTTCATTTGACGCTCAAAACTGATCGGAGCTTGACGAACCGCTCTCTGTTAATGATCGTTATGCTCGTCATTTTGAAGGAGCGCAATTTCGTCCTCGTTCTCCTGATCGTCCGTCTTCATTCGGGAATATTGCCATGACGCAGCAGACCGATCAGGAAGACTGGACCAGCAGGCAATCACCCACGTGGCCCCCATGAAAAAGTGGATCCATTGTATGTACTGTACAATCACGGAAACACTGCTTATGGCGATCGAGAGGTCGTCACTGCAGAAGAAATCGCAATTTGGGGTGTTCTGATAACGTGTCACCAACAGCATCATAGTAGCACAGTTGCCGCCGGCAGTGAATTGCATCAAAAGGAACGCGCCATAGCTCGTGGTCATAACAGCTGTTACAATGGTAACGATATACGAGCGTCGGCTGAACGGCCCGTATAACACACAGCAGCCGGTGCAGACCATACCGGATGCGGTCATCATGTTCGTGGACTGGAGCAGCAAATAAATGGAGTGTGGCAAGGACCACAGCACTACGATGAAGTAATGAACCCAGTGGTTTGTTGGCGAAGAATACAATAGTAATACAGGGCGCTGAATTGGTTTTTAATATATGCAGTGCAAAATCCTAAGCACAAAACTCAAACGTACAGAAATTAGTGACTTCGGGACTGCATACCGGTAGAAAGATAGTTGGTGTACATAATATATATTATACAGTGCATAAGCTGATACATATTGCACAGTACGGTACACGTATTAAGTACATGCACTATTAAATACTTTACTATAGCATACACAAATGCGACTGTTTGTTGCTTAAAGGTACAGATATAATGCAACAGTCTGCGTTCAAGAAAAAGTTTACAATATTTCACAAGCCGAACGTGCACATGATATGAACAGCAAAATACTATGAGAACAATACTCACTCCCAGGGGCAAAAGCGTTCAGGAACACTGCGGTCAGTCCCGCCACGATGCTGAGAACTCCCACACCGACAATAGTACCGCTTCTTACAAACTGATATTGGAAATGGCAGTGAAAATCACGTCGATGCATTGCCCAGACAGTCAGAAAATCGTTTGCAGAATAATATAATATAGATATGTAGTACAAGAGTCATCTTCGGCTTCGCCTCAGATGCTCTTGTGGTCCACACTCAATTTCTTGAATAACAATGGTTGTTGTAGATTTATTTATTTTTCAAGTTTGTTTCTTGTTAAGAAACGGCTTCGGCTTCGCCTCGTTTACTGAACGTTTTTAGGATTACGCATTGTCTTCGGTTCGTAGCCTACACTAATCATGAAACATTAATAGCTGATCGGTTCATGACTTACTGTAATACAAAATTTTTAGTAGCACCACTATAATCTAGGAGCGGTGCTAAATATCTTAGTAACTGTTCCGCTAATTGTTAAGAACATAATAATTTTTGATCGTGGAATAAAATTGGTCTTGCCTCATTATTCAGTGGGCTAGACCTGTGTAAATCTTTTAATACTTCGGTTCAGTTGGCAGCACTGAACGCCGGTCGATCCACAGTAATAACGAGCGACAGTGATCACATGGACCTAATTTTCGAACAGTGGTATTAACAGCAGGTCGTGTATACTGTAAGTCCGTTCACTCAGCAGCCCTGATCAGTGATCCCTAAATATTGGTATGGGCTGTTGGTGGACACTGGTATGGTATAGTATTGATCAAAGGGCAGTAGTAAAATTTTTGATTTTGTACAATGGCGACCGTTTCCTTTTTTCGGTAGACTTTGTAGGTGGATAGGCGAGTGAGCCTTTACACGGGTCTAATCATCGACAGGGCGTCAGCTACAGTGCTAGTGTTATCACTGCATGAGCTGGGCAGTAGTAACGGTTCCGATCTTATCTGAACTGAAAATCACTAACACTAACTCCAGGTCCTGTGACTACCGTCAACATGCGGTCACAAAGGCTTCCCGGTATTGGGAATGTTTGGTCAGTGGATAGTGTGACCCTTTGCGCGGTTCTGTTCACTCGACAGCTCAAGTGCTCTATTAGAACTGAGCAGGACTTCTTAAGATCTTCATTTCTTTCTTCGAAACAGCTACGGATTCGTCTCCGCGTTTTTTGTGGTGCACACTCCGCTGCCAGTTTATTCAAATGATTTTGATTAGGTAAACATTTTATAATTTCGGTGAAATTGAATGGCCCAAAAATAAACTGTAAATTTATTAAAATTTTTTAAAAAATTTATCGCTTTCGTGCAATTGGTCACTCGCTCGCTTAGGCGGCTCTTTTCTTGGGACAGGAGTAGTTCGGTCACTCAATCACCTAGCGAACTGATAACTGGATAGTGGTAGTAATCCGTCACTCACTCCCCTAGAGAGCTCGTTTCACTGAACAGTGGTGGTAGTTCGGTCATTCAATCAGTTCGGTCACTGGATTTGCTGATTTTCACGTAAGGCGGGTTCTCTTACTAACTGCTTTAAATGACATGTTTAAGGGACTGGGCCCGGTACGTGGCACCAAATTCGTGTAAAACCGCGGGAACTTTCGCTGTCGCGCACTCCAGATCACTATTTCGCATTACTTTATGATACTCGTATTTTGTCCAAAAGATGGGTATACCGCCGTATACAAAGGCGTGAAATCCGTTTGCGCGCACAACATCCGGTTGGAAAGTTATGGGTGAATCAAAATTCCAAAACGTTTAGATGTTTCAGGTGTACCTAAAGTCTCATTATATATCAAATCCTCTTCTAATCTTCGTATATCCATATTATTATAATGATAGTTTTTACACCGAACCCACTCTGCACCATTTTTTCCAACCACTCTGGTTC